CTTCTCAGAGGGGCCCCTACCTGTCTTTGCTTAGGGCTCCACATTTCCTAAATCCGCCCCTGCCAGGGCGTTGGATCAATGGCAATGGGATCTTTTGAAGGAAGCGTCCTCTGCTCTTAAGCGCTCCATTTTAGTCCTGGGAGTGTGGCCAGAGGTAACGCCCTTAAAGGGGCGGGGTTAGTTAGAACCCTTCTTTTACCTGAAGCACCATCCTCCGCCTGCAGGGGGAGACACCAGAACCAGAACCTCCCTGGTTCTATACGCTGTCTGCAAGGAAGCCCAGATCATCAGATGTTCCTCTCTGCAGCGCAGGACGATCCGATCTCCTGACCAGCTGACGATGAAGGCCTGGTTACTGATAAAGGCTGAACAAACTGGGACTGATAACTGGGAGAGGAGATAAAAGTGAATCTGTTCTGGTGACTCATGGAAGCTTTAGGAAAATCCAACCATAGAAGCTGGATGGAGAACCCAGCTTCAACATGTTTCCAGGTCCCGTTATCACTTCAACAAAACCACGTCTACCCTGAATCTGATACAAAGCACTATGGGAGATGTAGTCTCCCTCTAAAGCTGCAGGAAGCCCTGCTGCCTGAGATAAAGCCCGCCCAGGCCAACCCTTCCTCCCCCACCTCAGTTCGTTGCCCTCTCTGCCTGCTTCATACGCACACACCATAACTCAGAACACTGAAGGTCCTCCAGCTGAGCTCCGCTCCAACTGGAACCATGTTTTGGACTCTAGGGCCAACCCTGGGCCTGGTTCTGCTGCTCCACCTCACTGCTGCTCACGGTACGTTCCACCACGTCCACATTCAGCTGTCAGCACCGAGGAAGAGGAGGGCGGCAGGGAGGAATGTGGAGTTAGAGGGGGAGAAGGAGAGAGCGCTGGAGGAATGGGGAGGTGGTTGATTGGCAGATGGTGATCCTTGACCTTTGATGACATATGGGCGATCTGGAGTTGTGGGATCTTAGATAAGAAGTAGGATGTTTTGGACCATTGGTGCGCTGTCCTGAAACATTTCCAGACGGCCATGTTTATAGAAACCCTTACTGTCTGTGGATCCCTCTCTCTGCCCTGTCTCTAGTGTTCCTGGATGGCAGGAAGGCCAACGAGGTTCTGACCAGACTGAGGCGGGCCAACAGCTTTATGGAGGAGTTTAAACAAGGCAACATGGAGAGGGAGTGCAACGAGGAGCGCTGCAGCTGGGAGGAGGCGCGGGAGATCTTTGAAGATAAGCAGAAAACTGTAGGAACACCAAACTAACCGGATTCGTCTTCTTGATCAGTTCCTGTTATATTGAAACATTTAATCCCGTTTTTTTTCCTCCTCAGGACGAGTTCTGGGCCAAATATGTCGGTAAGGTATCTCCCCAGATCACCCCATCATGACCTAAGCCGCTTGGCAGGACCCTGAAGCCTAATTGTCCATCCTGCAGATGGTGACGCCTGCGAGTCCATCCCATGTGCTCATGGGGGGCACTGCAAGGACACGATCGGAGGCTACACCTGCTACTGCAAGGAGGGATACAAGGGCTTCAACTGTGAGATCGGTAAACACACGAGTCCTTCAGGGTTAGCCGATAAACCGGCAGAGCTTCGTCCATCTGCTGCCTTCAAAACATCCAGGTGTTATGAAGCTTTGGAGATGTTCAGAATCTGAGGAGTCTGCCTCTAATGACCACCTCCCAATCAGGGGTCGTAAGGTCAGGAGAAAAGAGGTGGTCGTGGACAAATCCTGCGGTTGAAGCAGAGCTACGAGCCAATTTACCGGAACCTTGAGCACTGCGCATGTGCAAACAAGGGAGTTCTTCTTCTTCTTCTTCCAAATTGACGAGTCCTACCAGCTCCATCTCTCTGAGCTGAGTCCAACGGGGCTTATAGACTTACAGTGTAAGCAGGTAGATCGCATCAGAAAGTCGGTTCGCACAGTATGATGATAAACATTGTGAGCTGTGAGCTTTAAAACCCTGAGGTTTCGTTGTACAGTTTGAGTTGTAGCTGCGTGCAACAATTGGAAATATTGCACAGTTTAAACCCGGGTTTAAGGAACCAAGAGCAGCGGAGGCGTTGCAGACCTGATGCTTTTAGAAATCAATGGGAACTTTTAATACAATTTAAATACTCAAAAAATGGGAAAACTGGACTTTCAGGACGCGTTCAGCCGAACCTTGTCAGGATGGGTTTGATTGTGACATTTGTGTCTTTGCAGTGATCCCCAAGCTGTGCGAGAACGAGAACGGCGGCTGTGAGCATTTCTGCCGGATCACTAACAGGAACGTCGAGTGCTCCTGTGCCGACGGATATTTCCTGGCTGCCGATCAGAAGTCCTGCGAATCCCATGGTAAGAAAAAGCTCAACTGATGGTCCCTTCTTCAAGTCTAAACACCAGATATGTCAGATTTACCTTCTAGGATGGAAGGGCTTTATAGCAAGCTACCACAATTAAAAACAAGAACCGCATTCAAAAGCTTGGATTTATCTTCATACAAAAAATACAAAAATTGACACAAAGCCTCCATAAATTTAAACTGAAATAAACTTTTCTTGTAGAGGTTTTAATTTGGCCGTTCATGGTAGAACATCTAGATAAGGATTCTACCTTAAGCCCTAATGGGAAAGTCTTTCTAGTTAAACCAGGTCCCAGGAGAGTCCAGAGCTGCCAGGTGTGAAGACATGTCCACTTAGAAGAGAAAGAGTTTAGATGTTGAGGAATAAAGCAGGAACCATCATGGTTCTGTCCGCAGTAGATCTTAGACAATGTTGAACTAAGATGAAAACTAAAGGTTTCTATGGAAAAGGCGAAGTTATCTAGAAAACGGCTTGGTGTCGAGGTAGAGTTTAGCCTGGTTTACACTAAGAAACCAGTCTGGGTGTGTTCGCAGTTAACGCAGATATGCCCCCCCTTCCGCAGACCCTCTGCTGCACCTCCCAAAATTGTAGACGACCGCAGACAGGAGGCCTCTGATTGGCCTTATCTGGTCCTTGGCTAGACCCCTACAATTCCTTTTTAAACATCTAAAATACTCTTTCTGTCATGAGTTGTGGACAATAAGATCTAAAAAGAAGCACCATTTCCTGGTCAGACCCTGCAATTCAGGGAAAGGGTGGAGTCAGAGCAAAAAAAACATGCACACCCAGGCGAAGGCCAGTGGCTGGAAGTTGGAGGGGATTTTGCTGCCATTTGGCTGGCTTTTCACTGGGAATGGCCATTTTGATTGGCTGTTACAGTAGCGCAGACCACGCTCCGAGATTGGGCATAAATCAAAAATATCTGCATCATACCTGCAACAATCTTACTGCAACACACTGGAGTATACACAGCCCTTTAGGGTCAAAGGTTATCATACCAAGCAGATCAAGGAGGCCTTCCTGCAGTTTTCAGCTCCAATCAACAGCATGTTGTCTAAAACATTCCCAGCAAACCAAACGTTCCTCTTGTGGACGTGCAGTTGTGTTTTTAATCCTTACCAATGGATCAGCAAAGCGCCAAACCAGTTAGGGAGTTCTGAACATGATCAGTAGATGATCCTAAAACAGGAGTGCTTCAGAGAAACCATCAGCAACCCTACAGAACCTCATCCAAACTCTCTGATCTCTAAACTTCTTCTTACAGAGAAGTTTAAATGTGGTGCCATCGTCCCCAACAAGGTCCGCTCCCTTCTGGGCTCCGTGGAAGAGACCAAAGAGGAAATGACAAACCTGAAGCTGAACACCAGCGCCAACTCCACATCACCGCAGAACTCCGACTCTGCTGATCTGTTCTCGTCTGGAAACATCAGCAGTCAGATCCCGCCCTCTAACACGCTCTGGGACAGCGGCGTCACCAGCGACATGGCGGCAAACGTCCGCATTGTGGGCGGAGAGAACTGTCCGCCAGGAGAATGTCCATGGCAGGTAGTCCTTTTGTTCTGGTCCTGGGAGGATCGGACCCATGACGGAGTCCATGACGGGTGCTGGTTGTGTTCCGATAGGCTCTGCTGATTAACGAAGACGACGTGGGCTTCTGTGGGGGAACCATCCTGACCGAGTACATCATCCTGACGGCCGCCCACTGCATGAACCAATCACGATACTTCGTCGTCAAACTCGGTATGTCCGACCAATCCAACCATTGCCTTTTGTATCTATGCTTCTTTTTCTATGTCTGCTTCTGTCTCCAGTGGGCCTCAGCAGATGGCCGCTCACACTGAGCCTGGTTCTGCTGGAGGCAATTCTGCACATTAACATAAATTCACCACAACCTCCATTAAAATATGAATTTATGAAATAAAATCATTCAACTCTGACTCAAGCGTCTTACAGTTAGAAACTCTTATATAAACCAGAGAAGCTAAACTAAACCGAGCTGCTATGGTAGAACATAATCTATAAAACACAGCAATGATGTCACAGTTGAACTTAGATTTTATGTTTGAGAACCAAAGATAAAATGGCCCAAAACAGAACAGCGCCCTCCTCAGGACAAGACTCTGCTGTACATCTACACCTCATGGACAAAGGACATTCTTTGGAAGACCAGAATGTTCACATTTTGGACAAAGAAGACAGATGGTTTGAGAGGGGAGTGAAGGAAGCCATTCCCTTTACAGGGGAACAGAAGACCTTGCCTGTTCAGCCAGGCCAGCAATTCCCTTTAAAGTCGTAGGGAAATCATATTTAAATGTCAAATCATTCTGGCTTAAACGTGTATATAAATGTACTTTTTATCAGAGATTGTCCCAAAGTTTAGAAAATTTCTATAAAAAAAAAAGATGAAAGTCAACACATTAAATATGATCTATTTTATTCCAAACCTCTATAATTTTAGGCAAGTTAGAAAAACATCTAAATCTACTGGAATTGAATTGGTTTTAAAACCGTAAAGCAGCAAACGGTCCAACAGAGTTTAACCACAGAATACGAGTCCCTGAGGGCCGCTATCCTGCAGCTTTTAGATTTGTTTTTGGCCAAACACATCTGAATTAAATGGCTGAATCACCACCTCAGTATCTCTATCATCTATTTACTTGATTCAGGTGTTTTGGACCAAGGAAACGTCTAAAGGTTGCAGGATAGTGGCCCTCAGGAACTGGAATTGCCCTCCCCTGCTTAGATGGTGGCTTTCTGGGCCGGTCCAGTTAGACTCCTGGGTCCTTCCAGTTCTCTCTGGTTATTCTTCAACATATCTATAATCCTCTTCCAACAGCCAGAACCCTTACAGTCCAGTTTATCATCCAGGTCCATGAAACCCAGTGAGTCCTGCTGTGACCCCTGAGAGTGACGACAGTTGTGTTTTCAGGTGAATACAACACCATTGAAGCCAGTGAGAATGAAGTAACACATCATGTGGAAATCATCGTCTCCCACAACAAGTACAGCCCGGACACCTACCACAATGACATCGCGCTCATCAAGCTGGCCGAGCCCATCACGTTCACCAGGTTCATCCTTCCAGCCTGTATACCGGAGGCAGACTTTGCAGAGAATGTAAGAACCACTGAGGGAGGAAAGGGTTTGACGTCTCGATTAGATCAGATGGAACAGCAACCAAAACCTTATAGAAAGGTCAGAATATTCTAGAAGTCTTGAGGATCTTCAAGATGTTTTTGTAAAGGTGAGACTTATTTTGGGTTCTGACCTCCACTGAGGCGGTGAGTCCTGCAGATCTGTAGATGTTCTTGGTTCTTCTGGGACCTTCTGGATGAATGGTTAAAGAGGCCACAGTGGCAGGTCAGCCTCCATGCTCCAATGTGTGGCCTTAGAGATGGATCTGCAACCCTTTCAAGAGTTTTTAACCTACTTCGTGTTGCCTGGCAGGTTCTTCCTTAGTAACTTCTTGATTCTGAAGGTCTGGGATTACTTAGGGACAAAATTGAACCAAAATGGGGTTAATGATGGTAATAATGGGATTAAAGGAGCAATAAGCAGTGGCACCTCCAGAAATGTTTCAGTGTGTGTGTGTGTGTGGGGGGGGGGGCATCTTTGGGTGGCCACTGAAACTAAAAGGCATAATTTCAGGGTTGGAATCTACTATAGTGGTAAACCTGGCTGTAGAAATCAGAAAACTTCAGTAAACACCTCCTCAGATCTTGGTTTATTCTGTGACTTTTAATGTTAAGTCACTGGTTGTGTAGAATGGGATGAAAAGCTAAACTGATGCTACTACAATTTACTCTGGCCAGTGGGGTGGCCAGTGTGGTGGCCAGTGGAATGGCCAGTGGGGTGGCCAGAGGGGTGGCCAATGGAATGGCCAGTGGGGTGGCCAGTGGAATGGCCAGTGGAATGGCCAGTGGAGGGGCAAGGCCATTGCACAGGGTGACCATGGTCACCCCTAGCCACCCCCAGGTGACACCACTGGTTCTAAGGAAGAATGTTTTTTCATATTCTTACTGAAGAGATTCACTAAATTAAGATGAACTGTTCAGCTGCACATTCGCAGATTATGTGGTTTTATTGGCTTCATCAGGGCGTGATCTACAGCCCTCAATGAAGCGGTTCACAGCCGGGTGTGAAGCGGCCGGGATGAGGATCAGTGCCTCCAAATCTGAGACTATGGTCTTGAGCTGGAAAAGGGTAGACTGCCTTCTCCAGGTGTGGGAGGATGTACTGCCCCTAGTGGAGGAGTTTAAGTATCTTGGGGTCTTGTTCATGAGTGAGGGGAAGATGGAGTGTGAGATCGATTGGCGGATTGATGCGGCATCTGCTGTGAAGCGTGCGCTGTACCGGCCTTTTGTGATGAAGAGAGAGCTGAGCCAAAAAGCAAAGTTCTCGATTTACCGGTCGATCTACGTTCCTACCCTCATCTATGGTCATGAGCTTTAGGTCATGACCGAAAGGATGAGTTTTCTCCGTAGTGTGTCTGGGCCGCTGCTCCTCCACATTGAAAGGAGCCAGTTGAGGTGGCTCAGGCATCTGGATAGAATGCCTCCTGGACGTCTCCCTGGTGAGGTGTTCCAGGCATGTCCCATCGGGAGGAGGACCAGGGGGAGACCCAGGACACGTTGGAGGGACTATGTTTCTCTGCTGGCCTGGAAACGCCATGGGATTCCCCCAGAGGAGCTGAACCAAGTGGCTGGAGAGAGGGACGCCTGGGCCTCCCTACTGAAGCTGCTACCCCCACGACCCAACCCCAGAGAAGAGGAAGAGGGAGGGAGGGAGGGAGGATGGATGGATGGATGGATGGATGGATGGATGGATGGATGGATGGATGGATGGATGGACGGACGGACGGACGGATGGATATTCAGCTGTAAGAGGTCTGAGTTGTCTGGTGATTGGATTTGTTCTGGTCTTCCAGGTCCTAATGCGCCAGGCAGACGGTCTAGTCAGCGGCTTTGGACGTCTTGGCGAGGGTCAAGAGACATCCACCATCTTACAGCGTCTCTCTGTCCCCTACGTGGATCGGAACGTCTGCATGGAATCCACCCAGCTGCGCATCACCATGCGCATGTTTTGCGCCGGCTACGACACAATCACCAAGGATGCCTGCCAGGGCGACAGCGGCGGGCCGCACGTCACGCGTTACCGTGACACCTACTTCATCACTGGCATCGTGAGCTGGGGGGAAGGGTGCGCACGCAAAGGGAAATATGGCGTCTATACGCAGGTGTCGACGTACATCCGTTGGATCCGACAGGGAATCAGGAGGTTGACAGCCGCTCAGGGCAGCAGGAAGAAGAGGGACGGTGGTTCCATCAGACGGTTGTTCCTGTAAACCACATTTAAACGGCCTAACAGCTGATGTACTATCCAGCTGCAAACCTTAGATGGTGACCTGATTACTTATGGAGTACCTCAAGGTCGTTACTCTGTGACCATTCATTTTCTTTGATATATTTGCTCTAATGTTGATTTATTGTTTCTTGTGGGAAGAAAACTTGAAATTTAAAGGAGAAATAATTATTTGCTTAACTTTCTACTACCCATGTTAGGCTTATTTTAAGCTCTTTAATGCATCCTCACCTCTTTTTATTTTTCTTTCACTAACTGTGTCTTGGTTCCATACAAACTTTGTCATTAAAAGCCTGTAAGACCGAGTTAAAGTTTCCGAGGCTGAACCATTAAACACCTGGAAAAGAGTCGGATTTCTGTTTTTCTTTCACTTCTTGACCTGAAATTATTTCTTATAGTGGATTTAATGCTTAAAACACTTGTCGTCGTCGTCGCCTTCCTCTTTATCCAGGACCGGATCTTTAGGGCGGCAGCCTTAGAAGAGACTCTCAGACTCCTCCTTCAGCAGAGAGACACGGTCCCTCCATGGTGTCCTGGTCCTCCTCCTGTGGGACGTCCCTGGAACCCCTATCTAACTACTCAGGTCTGACTCTTAGGAAGGCCACGAACCATCATGATGTCTTTCAACGTTTTATTCTCTCTCTCTTGTCGAAGACACAGCGAAAACTACAAAAATACAGAATATAAAAACCTTTCAATAACAGCTTCAGAAAGTAAAAGTCTCTGACTACACAGATTTCAAAGACATTTGGTCAAACTAGATTAAACAGGAGATGATCCTACATGCTAAAATATCAACATGAAACATTCAAGTAATCAGAACGACTTACCGTGTGCATCTTTCAGACCAGAACAGAAGAGTCTTTTTCTGTTGAGTGGATCAGTAACGTTTCTGCAATGCTGGCATGTTTCTCTGCAGCCATATTGGATTACCCAGAATTCAGTTCATATCCACTAACTTCATTAGCCGTGTAACCTTTATTCACATACAACTCAAAAACAGTAAATGATCTTTACTAAATCAATTAAATGAAATGTTCATGAATTATAGAACTAACCATAAATAGACATTTTAACTCTTAACTCTCCCCTGGACAGTAACATCCTCAGAGGGAGGCGTCCATCAGATAAAGATGTCTGCTCCTCCTCAGCTGACTCCTCTGGATGAGGAGGAGAAGCAGCTCTGCTCTATTTGCAGCTGAATTATTACCAGATAAAAATTCAGTGTAAGGAATTTAATATAGAAATGATTTCAGTGTTTCAAATTCTGTGGCTTCAGGTCACCAAAAGGTCAACACATTTGCAGTCAAATTATTTGCCGTTGAATTTTTTGCAGCTGAATTTTTACCGGATGAAAATTCAGCATGATTTAAAATTCGGCATAAAAAAAAAGTCAGATTCCAGTGAGGCTGTCTTTCTTCCGTAGCTTTCGGCCTGGATCAGTAAATTCTCTGATTAATCCAGGAGTATTGATCTGGGAGACTAAGTCCCTCCATGTTTACCAGGAACAAACAAAGGCAGTGTTTATGTTTCAGGGGTTCAGCTGCTGTTTGTTTGGATGTTTTGAGGGCGATCAGAGTCCGCTGCAGGAACAGAACCAAAGCAAGTTTTTTTCATGTAGATCTATGCAGAAAAACACGGAGTTCTGTTTTCCAGGTGACTCAGACTGTTTTCCACATTCATGTTGCCTGTTTTTCCAGGAACCTTCCTGTTGATTCAGGAGTCAACAGATCAAAACCAGGCACATACACTTCAAAAACAATCTAGAAATAAGTAAAAAACGTCTTCAATTAAGCGTATTTAGCCTTAATTTAAGTAGTGAAATAAAATATTTTGCTATGTAATTAGTATATTTCCTCCTAAAATAAGATATTTAGATAACATGCATAGACGGTTCTAGGCAGGGACCAACAGGGGCCCCTAGAGAACTCATCCTGGCCCCTGTATTTAAAGGGGAACACCGTTTTTTTTACATTGGGCCCTTGATTCTACGTCATTCCATCATGTTCTACTCACCCATATGACATATTCCATTAGATCAGTATTTAACATGTACTATCTGCTTGTATTATCTCTCTATACTTGACGGTGTTTTGATTGGACTGGACTAACGTAATAAATTTGATTGATGGTTTAATGTTTGAAAAGGCAGTTAAATAGTTTGGATGGCTTTGGTCCGTCTGTCCAAACCCCCATCAGGTCAGAGTCCCTGCTGTTTGCGCAGGCGATTGTTTGCAGAGCCTGAGCAGACCTGAGGTTAAAGCGGTCCAACATGTCCGCCTCTTGGCTCGCCGTCTGCCTTCTGGGAGGTTTTCTCCTTCAGGTGTTCAGCCATGAGAACGGTGAGTGATCCACCTCCGACCCGTCGCTCCTTTCAGAACATCGCTCTGGTTTTATGTCAGACGCAGAACTTTCTGGTTCTAAGGAGGATCCACTGGTCTGTCTGGGTTAGCTTCACAGGGCAGAACTTTGTTCATTAGATACGCACCGATCAATCAGACTTTAGTTCTTCACTAACGGCCAGAGGAAGTGTTTAGGTGGAGGTTGGTCCATGCTGATGCAGAGTGACCTAAAGCTGGAGCTCATGATGCTCATCTCTGGGAGGAAAATGAGCTCATTTGGTCAGAAAAAGAAGGAAGTTTGCTGCCGGCCGCTTCTTCTGGATCAAACCAACAGCCTTGGCAGACGGGGGTGCTGCTCTGTGATTGGCTCAGTTATTTGATCCAGACCCATAGATGGAAAACTCTAATGTCTGTCTATTAGTAGCTACCTGTTTTCTAATCAGATCTATTTAACCGGAAAAACTCCTCATTCAGCTTCATTCAGCCGATAACAAAGCTACGGCCAACTGTTGTGTCACGTGACCAAAATGAGCTCATTTCATTGGATAGAAGCTGCTGGACTGCAGAGTGTAGGTCCCTAAGCTCACACATTTACAGCTGAATTTTTACCAGATAATAAAACTGTTTAAGGAATTTAATGTGTCAAAATATTCAGTGCCAAAAATGTTAGTGTTTACATTTTGGTGTTTAAAAAAAGGCAGATTCCTGTGAGACTGTTTTTCTTCCATATTCATTGGTCCTGTTCCGTAGAAGCCGTCAACATGCTGGTTTTACTGGGATTTCTGTTTATTCCAGTAAATCCAGGGCTCTGTGAGAATGAAAACGGTGGCTGCGAACATTTCTGCCATGTTGTGGAAGGGAACGTCGAGTGTGGCTGTGCTGATGGGTACTTCCTGGCACCGGACAACCAGTCCTGCAGCTCTAACGGTAAGACAAGTTCTGGACCACCCGAGTCCTGGACTTTAAAGAGGCTTCAGGAACTTGGAGAACCACACAATGTTTACAGCAAGCTGCCGCTCAATGCTGTGCAACTACGGCTACAGAGAAGCCAGATCATTCAAAAGAATGATGCATTGACATCATGTCAGCTTTGGTGGATGTTAGTCGAGGATCCAAATGCAGAGATTAGTTCTTGAAGATTTAATTTAAATTCTGGCAGCAACAGGAGCACAAATCCAGGAATAAATAAAGAAGCTCTATCCTCTCCTCTATTCTATTCTGGAACAATCAGTGAATTGGGAGCAGGTGTGGACAGAAACAGCTAGAAAGGAGGAGGAAGGAAACTGGCACAAGGAGGCAACAGAAAGTAGCACAAAAACACAACACTGCTATGAAACGTCTACAAAACAAAATTACATTGAAACTAAAAACTTAAAGGGCAGAACCCTGAGACATCGGCCGCTTGGACGGATGCGACAGCGAGCTCCGCATCAAACTCCTGAATTTCACACCAAACAGGAACAGACCAGATGAAGCTACTATGAGAAAAAGCAGAGAGGAACTAACCTTAAATTAAGGCTTTATATGTGAGAAGGAGGATTTTAAATTCTATTCTGGATTTAACAGGAAGCCAATGAAGAGAAGCCAGGATAGGAGAGATATGATCTCTCTTTTTCATTTTCATCAGAACTCTGGCTGCAGCATTTTGGATCAGCTGAAGGCTTTTAACTACAGTTTGTGGACTTCCTGATAGTAAAGAATTACAATAGTCCAGCCTTGAAGTAACAAATGCATGGACTAGTTTCTCAGCATCACCCCTGGACAGGAGATTGCTCATTTTTGCAATATTCCTCAGATGAAAGAAGGAAATTCTAGAAACCTCTTTGATCTGGGATTTAAATGACAGGTCCTGATCAAAAATAACACCAAGATTTTGATTATTTTCAAAGACTCTGGTCCAAAAACTATAACTTCTGTTTTGTCTGCAGTCAGAAGAATAGTTGAATAATTAGCTTTAGCTGGATTTATAGACAGATCCAGCTGAGGATGAACAGAACTGATCCAGTTCCAGCTTTAATCATCTAAATTCATGAGTTCTTTCAAAGCTTGGTGGACATAGATAATGACGAGCTCTTCCTGATCTCCAAACTCTCTCAGAGACTTTTAGATGTGGCGCCATTATCTCCGGCAGAGTCCAAACTCAGAACGGAACCGTAGAGGGGAACTCCAGAGAGGATCAGCTGGTCCTCCAGAGCAATGCAAGCAGGCTGGATGAGACCATCAGGGGAGAGGACTGTCCACCGGGACAATGTCCATGGCAGGTAGACACCCAGCAAAAGGGCGACGGTTCTGGTCCAGGGGTCCATTAGTTGACTTTGTTCTCTCCTCTGAGGCTCTGCTGGTGAACCAGAACGGCGTGGGCTTCTGTGGGGGAACCATCCTGAGCGAGTACATCATCCTGACCGCCGCTCAATGCCTGACCCAAGCCCGGTACCTCACCGTCAGCCTCGGTACGTCTAACAGCTCAAACACACGCCTCTGGTATAGATCCGGAAGGTTCTGGTCCTGTGAGACGGATCTGGTTTCCAGACTCAGTCCGACCCAAACAGCTCAGCGTGTCGACCAATCAGAAACAGACTAATTAATGTCTTCTATCCAATCAAACAGCTGGACCAGTTTTAATCCAGTTTAATCTGTTCACACCAGTTAGGTTCCAGTTTAATGCTTCAGCTATGAGATGTTGAATCTGGTCCAACGTGCATCCAGGTGTCTACAACTCGTCTCACAGTGGAGGTGACCAAGCTTCCCATGTGGTGGACGTCTCGGTCAGTCACCATGGTTACAGCCCACAGACGCTCTTCAACGACCTGGCTCTGATAAAGCTGGCCACGCCCATCAGGTTCTCCAGGTACATCCTGCCGGCCTGCATACCGGAGCCGGACTTCATGGAGAAGGTGAACGTTCACTGCTTCAATCACAGTCACATATCAGGAATGTGAGGTTCTAAGGTTCTGTTCTACATGAAGGTTCTGATGCGGCAGCAGGCGGGGCTGGTCAGCGGTTTTGGACATCTGGGTGAGGGTCAGCCGTCCGCCATCCTACGGCGCCTCTCCGTCCCCTACGTGGATCCAGATGCCTGCATGCAGTCCACCCAGCTGCCCGTCTCTTTGCGGATGTTCTGCGCAGGCTACGACCGGATGGAGGATTCCTTTCAGGGCGACGCCGGCGGGCCGCACGTCACCCATTACCATGACACCTTCTTCATCACCGGCATCAGGAGCTGGGGCAAAGGTCACGCACGAAAGGGGAAATACGGCGTCTACACTAAAGTATCTAAATACATCAAGTGGATCAGAGAGGGGATCAAGAAGCTGACGCCTGTGAGCCCAGTATAAACACCCAGTAAACCCAGTAATCAGGGATTTAAGCTCAGAGAAGCTGGAACGAACCATCCTGATGGCGTCCCTCAGGTCCGACTGTTTGGGCCCCTGATCATCCAGGTTTGGTTCGGTCTGACATCAATCATCAAAGGAAAAAATCTACTGACTAGCATTAAATTTAGCTACAGAACTGATCCTGTTTAACATGTCTGGAGAATAAAGTGGATGTTCTTTAATTCTCATTTCTATGTTTACGTTTGATTTGATCTGAATGTAACTGAAATAAAAAAAATGTATGAAATGAAAATGAGTTTAGACTCAATTCTATTCAGTTTATTTCTATAGCTCCAATTCACATCATGTCATCTCAGGTC